TGGCTGGGGAAGGGAAGGCCACTGCCAAGGTGGCTCACTCACGGCCCAGCATGTTAGTGCTAGTTGTTGGCCTCAGTTCCTCACCACAGGGACCCTTCCAGAGGACTGCTTGACTGTCCTTGGGACATGAGCTTGTTTCTCCCAGAGTGAGTGACCAGAGAGAGAGAACGGAGGAAGCCACGTGCCTCTTATGAGCTCACATGCCATCACTTCTGTCATATTCTTTTTTGGGAAAATTTATATTATTTTTACTTTTTGAGGCAGAGTCTCCCTCTATCACTCAAACTGGAGTGCAGTGGCGTGACCCTAGCTCATAGTAGCCTCTAACTTCTGGACTCAGGGTTTCTTCCTGCCTCAGCCTCCCAAGTAGCTGGGATGACAGGTGCATGCCACCATACCTGACAAAAAAGTTTTTGAACTTTTTTGTAGAGATAGGGTCTCACTATGTTGCCCTGGCTGGTCTTGAACTCCTGGACTTAAGTGGTTATCTCGCCCTGGGCTTCCAAAGGACTGGGATTACAAGTGTGAACCACTGAGCTGGGTGGAAAATTTATTTACTTATTTATTATTATTATTATAAAGATGTGGGGTACAATTCAGGGTTAGGTATACAGACGTTGATTATGCAGGTACCCTTGTTGATGAGGTGTGCCCCTCTCTCCCTGGAAAATTTTACATAAAGAATTATTAATGAGTGACAGGGGACTAAGTACTAAGAGGTAGAGACAACTGTAAAGAGTACAGGGAAAAGCCTTTCACTTGAGGGCCAAGGCAAAGTACTTGAGGAAGGAAGAAGTTTGGGAGAGACCCACATCCCCTCCAACCCCGGGCTGAGAGTCAGACCTCACTGGAGAGAGAGCAGCTGTGGTCCACTGCAGGGTGAAGTCTGCTTGAGTGCTACAGATCAGGGCTGGCAAGCAGGAAGCTGCCTACTGAGGTGCCACTGAACTCCCTGGGAAGGCACCCTCTGAACGTCCCAGCCACCTGTGTGTATGGGGAGGAGGAGGCGGTTCTGCAAGCCATTTGCTGCCATGTGCCACAAAGCAAGGAAAAGAAAGTGCAGCCGGGCTCGGTGGCTCAGCCTGTAATCCCGCGCCTTGGGAGGCTGAGGTGAGTGGATTGCCTGAGCCCG